AGCCTCAAAGAGTTGGGACTTTGTAGTATAGTTTGATATCCAGTAAAGTGATCCCTCCAACACTGTTCTTCTTTTTCAAGATTTCTGTGGCTATTCGGGGTCTTTTTTGGTTCCATATAAATTTTTGGAATATTTGTTCTAGCTCTGTGAAATATGCTGTTGGTATTTTAATAGGAATTGCATTGAATCTATAGATTGCTTTGGGTACTATAGACATTTTCATATTAATTCTTCCAATCCATGAGCATGGTATATTCTTCCACTTGTTTATATCTTCCTCTCTTTCTTTTTCCAGTGTCCTGTAGTTTTCCGAGTACAGGTCTTTTACATCCTTGGTTAATTTTATTCAAAGATATCTTATTTTTTTAGTTTCAGTGGTAAATGGTATTGTTTTTCAGTTTTCTTCTGAGAGTTCATTGCTGGTGTATAAAAATGCCGTCAATTTTTGGGTGTTAATTTTGTATCCAGCTACTGGGAAAATTGGACAGGTACATGCAAAAAAATGAAACTAGATCACCAACTTACTCCATACACAAGAATAAATTCAAAATGGATAAAAGACTCAAATGTAAGTTGCTAAACCTTAAAAACCCTGGAAAAAACCATAGGCAGTAAAGTCACAGACATCTCACATAGTGGAATTTTCACTGATACGTCTCCTAGGGCAAGAGAAACAAAAGAAAAGATAAACAAATGGGACTACATCAAACTAAAAAGCTTCTGCACAGCAAAAGAAATCAGCCTCAAAATACAAAGGAACCCCACGGTCTGGGAGAACATATTTGCCAAGGATGCATCTGATAAGGGGCTAATTTCCAAAGTGTACAAAGAACTCATATTACTCAGCAAGAGGAAGACAAACAACCCAGTTAAGAAATCGGCAAAGGACCTGAATAGACACTTCTCCAAAGAGGACACACAGATAGCCAAGAGACACATGAGAAAATGCTCAACATCGATAATCATCAGAGAGATGCAAATTAAAACCACAATGAGGTATCACTTCACACCTGTCAGAATGGCTCCATCAACAAGTCAACAAACGACATGTGCTGGCGAGGGTGTGGAGAAAGGGGAACGCTAGTCCACTGCTGGTGGGAATGCAGACTGGTGCAGCCACTGTGGAAAACAGTATGGAGGTTCCTCAAAAAATTAAAAATGGAGCTGCCTTTTGACCCAGTGATCCCACTTCTAGGAATATATCCTAAGAATCCTGAAACACTAATCAGAAAGAATATATGCGCCCCGATGTTCATAGCAGTGCAATTTACAAGAGCTAAGATCTGGAAACAGCCCAAGTGCCCATCAGTAGATGAGTGGATAAAAAAACCCTGGGTCATTTTCACCATGGAATACTACGCAGCTGTAAAGAAGAAGAATCCTGTACCCTTTGGGACAGTATGGAAAGACCTGGAAAATATTATGCTTAGGGAAATAAGCCGGACAGAGAAAGACAAATATCAGATGATCTCGCTTATTTGTGAAATCTAAATAACATAATAAACTGATGAACAAAATAGATTCAGTGACATGGAAGCATGAAACAGACTGACAAATCTCAGAAGGAAGGTGGGGAGAGACTGAACTAAGAATATATATGCATGACCCATGGACACGGACAATAGTGTGGTAAAGGCCTGGGGAGGGGAGTGGGTGCAGGGTGGAAGGAGTCGATGGGGAAAAAGGAGTACGTCTGTAATATTTTGAACAATAAAAAAAAAAGAGTTGGGACTTATGCATAAGCCCATTTTTAGACAATTTAAAAAGGAAGGGAGCAAAAGAAAGAAAAGAAAAGGAAAAGAAACAGGTAAGCTGAATGCATGGACAGTTTTACTACAGTGGAATCTCACAATTGTTAAAATTGTCTTTGTTGTCCAGGTCAATTTCACTTCAGTAACTCTGTGCAGAAATCTAGATTATATAGTTTAAAAAATTAACCAAGTGATCTTTTTTATGTTAGTTAAAACCTAACCTAATAGAAAGATCCACTGGCCCTTGTGGCGAGTGTCTGACAACACTGAGAGCTGTGATGACTTTTTAGGTAGTTTTGATATATCCTGTGATTTGCCTGTGTGCCCACAAAAATGAAGGGCAGTGGAATTATATGTGGAGATATGTCGCAGTAAATTTTTGAAGCCAAATTACCCTTGGACTAAAAAAGATTTCCTGTGACCACAACCAATTTTCCTAAAATCGGTACTAATATTTTCACAACAAAATGGGCAAAACTTTTGATTGTTAGTGCTCAGTTGTAGCTGGAGGCTAGTCTTATATGAACTAAATGTAGTAATACCAACAGCATACATTTATGGAGTGCTCACTATGGGCCATTCATTGGGTTAAGCATTTTAAATGGATTTGTTTCTTTGATCCTCACAACCCCGAGTGGTAGGACTATTTTTATTCCCATTTTACAGATGAAGAAGCTAAGTCATAGAGAGATAAAATAACTGGCCCAGTTTGCAGAAGGTGGTGTCAGGGTTTGACCTCAGGAGGCCTGATTCCATGAGGCAGCAATTAGATACATGCTCTACTTGGGGGCCCTGTTTAATCATTTTTATTCTTGCAATTTCTCTCTTATTTGATATTTTCCACATTCGGTGAGCATCTTCCAGAATTTAAGTTTTAGAGGAGTAAATGCTGTCTTGAAATGATGATGATCAGTGAGAATTAATTTTGCTTCTGAGTGCATCTAACTTATTTTGAAAGAAGGAGATGCTGGCTCAATATGGAAGAAAATGCTTAGGGAAGAAAATGTAGAGAGCAGAAAATGAACCTAGGGGCCAGAACAGTTCAGCAAGTAAAATTTAGTCTCTTGCATACTAATTCCACTCATATAGGAAAGAAAGAAACAATATAAAGAAACCACTTTCTGATATGGATCTCCATCCATAACAACATTGGTTTGATTGCCATGGCCACGCAAGGGGAAAAGCAGCAGTGAGAGAACAGACTCTGGAGCTAAACTGCCTGGGCTCAGATCCTGGCTCTACCACTTCCTGCCATGTGATCTGGGACAAGTTCCCTGCTGCTGCTGTGACTCTGTTTCTTGTTCTGTAAAAGACAAAAAATAGGACTTACCTTATAGGGTTGTCATGGGATTAAGTGAGTTCATGCCAATAAAGCAAGTAAGGGCCCTAAGGGTGTTTTCAATATCATCACTGTCATGATCATCAACATCGTGTGGCAAAGATATCGGCAGTGGTTTTATATTTAGACATTCTTAGGGTTTTTATATAGAAAGAGAAAATAATAGATTCGATTTATTTTAGACTTTGCTTAATAAAGCAATTCTTAGATCACCTAGATTTATTTTGGTTTCAGAGTTTGAGCAGTAATTTATAAGTTATTCAACTAAGATGTTGCCATGACTCAGACCGAATGAGGAATTTTGCTCCCAGCAAAAGAGGATCCAGCATCTTAATTGAACAATTATAAAATAGAAACAGACTGACCACTATCCTGAAAATCTGAAGATGGGAGTGGCAAAAAATCAGAAGATGGGAGTGCTAATAGGAGATAATCCTGCCTGCAAAGTCCAAGTGATTAGGGAAACTGGGACTTGACGTTTGACATGGCAAATTTATGTTGGGGTGACATTGGTAAGGTGTAAAACACAGTTCTGATAGATGCCCACACATTTAAGTCTTCACCCCTGCTCCCTTCAAGTAGTCGGAATGGATGCTCCCTGACACCCTCTGAGGGCACCCATGGGGGTGAGAGAGCCTTTCTCCCTTCAAGGCGACTTGGTCCATCTGGGCCTGCTCACAGGTGGGGGAAGCCTGGCGAAATCCCCAACGTGATCAGTGTTGTACCTATTATTTCACAGGGTTGCGTGTGTTTGGGGGGAGGAAGGGGGAAGCCTATAATTTCATAGCTGTTAGCATAACATTTCTGCTAAACCTCTTTTTATTCTAGAATTCTGAAAGGATCTCAACGTTTAAGATGATTTGAGGGCATTGTACAGAATTGAATGCACCCTCAGTTGTCACTAAATCTTGATGATGCAAGAAGGAAGCGTATAAATATTTCCTTCAAAATATCAATTATCATTTTGACCATTCTTTCTGTGAACTCGAAATCATCTTTTCAATTATTTGAACTCTTAGAATTTTTATCTCATAAATACAAAATCAGAGGCGTAAGTTTCACTTAGACCAGTTAGGGATTGCATTTTAACATCGTTCCACCACTGTTTTGTTTAGAAGAAATATGACTTGGGTTCAACCAATTTTGTAGTCATCAACTGTTTCAATACCCACATTCATCCTTGCCCGTAAAGTGTAAGCATCCTTCTTATATTTATAGGTTCTTTGAATTACATTCTAAATGACTACCATGCAAATAAATCAGAACAACAATCGTACCATGCTTTTTGTGTCACCGTGGGTCATTGTCATCAAATGCTTAGTAATGTCAACGCACTTCTGTAATTAGGTGAAGACGCTCCACCGGGCATCCATGGGTCAGCTATGTGGACTCTAGCTGCCAAAGGCGCTTCTCCATCTGAACAGAGCGCTTTGCTCAGCCAGTGTAGACATGGCCTGATACACAATGGAACTTCTCCCTTGAGAGCTGAAGTTTGGATTGATCTTAAATCTTTAACTCAAAAATGTGCACAAGTTTGATGAGCAGTTAAAATGCCTTCCTTGTAGTAAAATGAGAGCTTAAATTGACAGTAATGTGAGGAATAGCATAATTTATAATGAACTTGAAAGGCAGCAGCACTCACAGTTGCACAAGCTAATCAAGGGACCATCAAATCAAAGTTTCACCAGGAGCTTAAATATCTGTGACAGGGAGGTTGTTCCTGCAGGTTTATATCTGTCAGGTCTTAACACTACACCTGTCAGAGTACAACATGGCCTTGTCACTTTTAACCAAGATGTCACAGATATTGTGGGAAACAACCTGCTTTGTGTTTTCTTCTCTAGGATTTTACTAGGAAAAGCCAGTGTAAAAGGATGTGTTTTTTTTAACACTGCATTTTTATTTTGCAGATTCTCAGGCTGATGGAGTGGTGACGGAGTGGGCTGAATGGCTGCAGGGAACAAATTCAGACATGCCCAGAGAAATCTGCCCAGGGTGAAACAAACACCTTTGAGGTTTAAATCAGGTGTGTGAAGAATGTTGGAAACATGACTTTTGGGTGTGTGATTTTAAGGTGTTTTTTGTGTTGTTTTTTTTTTTGCATTTATATTTGTCAAGGAAAGTGGAAAGCTTGGTGGCTTTTGCCTGTTCTCCCAACTCTTTTAATGCTATAAAATACCCCCAAAAGTTAACCTACCCTCTCTCCTAGGCTTTGATTTACTCTACTTCATTACCTGGATGGGCCCTCTATTTTATCAAAACTTCAGACTTTAAAAGCATGATCGTGGTTTTCCATAGTCAAAAAAGGTTTTGTTTTGGAAATATTTTTTAATTGGAAACTGAAGTTTGATAGGCTTTATAATTTGTCAATTTCCTTAGAAACATAAATGCTATTGGTGATGTATGAATTAGCTGCAAAGTACCATAAAAAACTACGCTCAAGTTATCTTTAAAAATATATGCTCATGTTATCTTTAGAAAGTTGTTAAATGTCTCAGAAAAATCAAACAAAGGTATCTTTCTTCAGAAAATGTGAACCACATTCCCTTACAGGATGAAGTTGTACTTACTAGCCTCTGTTTAATTCATTCAGAAACTACACGGTTTTTGTTGCTATATTTTGTTAGAAAGGAAGGAGAGGCTGTTTCTACAGGTGTCATAGAAAAATCAATACTGAGCTACGGATTATTGGATCCCATAGAACCATGGACACTTGGCGGTGACATTCTTTCCAAGGTGAGTGGAGGCATTGATTTTCCCTCTCACGCCTGCAGAAATATGACACAAGGAATGGAGGCCAGACTTTGACTTGGAAACAAGTCTGATTTGAAACTATGCCTTCCAAAAATTAGTGGCAATTTCTCTTCAAGAAAATAAATGAGAAAATTGAATGAGAATTTGAGCATATAAATTCTTCTGAAGGAAAAATAACGAGTTATTTGACCAACATTTTAACTGTAATTCAGCTCCAGTGATTTCCTCGTGGAATACTTATGTTATATAGTATAAAACAGTCTCCCTCTTTAATTGATAACCAAGAAGACAGTAGTCCTTCAGCTTCTTAGAAAAAGCGTATTATTTACACATTCATATTTAAAAGTATGAGCCCTTCTCTAATCTTCTTTATTTAAAACAGTGTGTTTTTGCAGCTAATTTGTGTCTAACTATTTAGACACATACTTGCTCATTTGTTTGCTAATTTTACAGTTTCTTCTAGATTTTGCAAAGTTGCAAGGCTCCAGCTAACGCATTGGTTGTTTCACCGCATTGCTTAGCATTCCACCCACGCAGGCAGGCGGCGTTCCTAGGCCTGGATCAGTCCCTGGGGAAGGAGGCTGCGGGACATTCGGTGCATCGCTCATCCTGTGACGATCCCCCTGCTGTCCCGCCTCTACAAGGTGAGAGATTGATTGTGCCTTGGTCTCTGGCGGTCGGAAATGACGGGTGCTAATGGCTCTCTCGCTTCCAAGTGTGTGTTTGGAACTCATCGAGGGGAGTATAGAGATCGTTTGATAAGTAAAAGAATAATTGGAACAATTTAAGTTGCTCGCACACGCTCTAGCACATTCATCTGTCCCCAGGTAGCATTTGGTTGTTCTACCCTGGGACCCACATTCTGTAGTATTGTCTCCCTCGTGTTAAGTGAGGTGGTAAATTGGTCATTTTTATAATGAATTTGAGCGGAGTATGTGATCAAGAAAGATAATTCAGGTCGCAATATAGAAAATTACCAAATTCCTAGTTTGCTATGTCTGGGGGTAGATATAATTTGAGCTTTAATATTTTGTGGGATCAGAAATTGATTATGAGAAAATTAAAATATAAAAAGGTAGCAATTTTATGGAAATATATTAAATTACCTTAATATTAATTTTTTTCTTATTGCTACCCAGTGGAAAATTCTTACTCTTTTTCCCTTATCCTAAATTTTCAGACTGGCTAAAACCAACGACAACAGCAGTTGTTTACAATATATACTCTAACTTTGGGTCATCTAGTTAATACCCTAATGCTGATTTTCCTGAACATAATATCCTATAAGAAAGACTATTTGGATGCTGCTACCACATTAGTAATAAAACAACAGGGAAAATGCAACATTCTGAGTGGACCATCTGATGAGGTGAGATTTTATCACATCCTATAAAATGAGATTACATGTGATTTTATTTGTCATTATCCCAGCCTTGTGAAAGTTTTCACTTATCAATTTGACACAGAAACTTATAACATAAAGCTTCATATACATTGCCTAAACTGTGACCAATCTGAGGCATTTAAAGCCTAGCTATTTAATGTGTTTTATTTATGTATTAGTTACATTATTTTTACTATTTTTTATCTCTTCCAGCTTAGAAAATTATGACTCATTAAGCATGTAACATATTTAGATAAAAAATAAATTATGTGCATTATAATTGCACAATGAGAAGGAAAGGTGCACTATCCTCTAACTTTTGATAAGGTTTAGCTGTTGATGTGTGAGTTCTTAAATGTGAACACACCAAAGACAATGGCATACTTTAAAGTGCTCTAAAGTTAAAATGAGAAATGAAGATTTCGTGGTGACAGCCTTGTATTTACTGTTATAAAATATAACATCCACATGAGAAGAAATAAAGCACAAAAGACAAAGAAGAGACAATGAAGGGGCTGGACATATGGAAAGTCCCAGGTTCCTGTAGCTATAACATGAGGACATTCAATATCCAACCCTCTGTATTTGGCACATATCCATCAGAGTGGTCAGGCGCTCTCTTCGTACTCCAAAAATATTCGTGTTTTCAGCGTGGTTTATCTTTATATCAAAATCCCCCACAATATGTAAAATATGTTTTATCCGTGCCTGAGTAACATGGTAGTAGCTGTGCTCTCTCTGGGTTAAGCACATCACATGACGTCTCCTAAAATGTTGCAAATATTATCTACTAGATAATTTGTGGCCCGTAAAATAGCATGAATTTCTGCAGGGAAAAGTGGCGATTAACGGAAGCATAACTATCGTCCATGTGAGCAAAGTCTGGCTGCCTCGTCTGGCCAGCGCAGGGTCTTGGGCTCATTGCCGCTTCCTTCGCTTGCTTTGCGTCATCCCCCAGGTCCTTTCTGGGTCCGTCTCTCTTTTGTTTCTCTTTGACTCTCTGTTGTGTTCCAGTTGACAGTTAAAGAACAGAACAGAGCAGTGAGCGCGCACGGCCAGTTTGCAGGGCTGCCAGCTGGGAGTTAAGCTGAGTGGCGTTGTGAAAGCCCAGCCCATTTCCATCGCAGCGGGCATGGCAGGTAGAAGCATTTCTGTATTAAAGCACACACTTTGTTTCTTCGGGTTCTTGGTCGAATTTCTCTTGTTTGCCAGTTGGGGGGAGAAATGAAAGTAGGATGAAGACCAAATGCCTGGGGTATTTAATCAAATGCCCAGCAACTCTTGATGATAGGATGCCGAAATTTCACTTTAGAGGATTAACCGCGGTGCATTTTGACCACCAAACGCGTGTCTCCTTCTACCCAGCACGTTATTGGGCTACTTTCTGCCACTGCCTAAATACGCTGCAGTGGAAGAATTCCAAACAGTTTTAATAATAACTCCTGGGTTGGCAGAAACTAAGCATGCAGAGTGAAAATGCCCATTAAATGCAGGTATTTCTGGAGTTCCTCAAAGGGTACATTTAAAGGCTATTGTTTACTTCTGTTAAAACAAGACATTGAGAATTGATTTCGCCGTGTTCTGTTAATTTGATTACTATTTCATAAGTGGTGAGTATAAACCTCCTTAAATATTTTATGAAGCTCATTTAATCAAGCAGATATCCCAAAGCACATCGCTATATTGATCCTTGACCTTTTGACCTGTCACCCTGCCATGTCCGATGCCTTTTTCTCATGTCCCCCGATGAGAGCTTAGGTGTCAGCCCTTCCCTGTGAGCAGCAGCGTGCTGTGGAATGATCTCCTCGGGGGCATGTCCTTGCAAGTGGTGAAATTGGGATGAATAATAGCAGTTTGCATTCATACTGGATATATTTTTAGGAAGCTTAAGAGGACTATACAAGAGTCACCTAGGAGAGATAAATGTAATATACATTTAAGGTGGGAAAACTAAATTGCTGAGATGTGCCAGATTAGAGTGGTATTATCATAGCTCATTTTATAGATGAATCTAAATATCCCTCAGCTAGTGCCCACATGCCATATGTTGAGCTAAATTTTACAAATCTTCACTGGAATTTCGAGCCTTGACATGCATCTCCTTACTCTGGAGTATACCCTGGTTTGTTTTGTTTTATGCTCTATGACCATTCTATGGCTATATCTCATCAGGTTGGATTGAAAGTTACCAGAGGGTGCCATGGAAAAATAAAATAAATTTTTTTTGAAGTTTTAACAAAAAAAAAAAAAAATGTGGAATGATTAAAGGCTCCATGGATGCCCACGCCATGGCTGGACCTGGAATCTTTCCAAGAGTGTGAGGTCCCTTCTGCATTAGTAGGCAGATCAATTCTTTAACCACTTTGGCCTCAAGTTCACAGATTTTTTATTTATAAATGTCCTTTGGGGTCCATGAGAAATCTGTAATACTCATTTATTTTCTCAAGAAAGGTTCGGGATCAGTAAGTTTGAAATATTTCAGAGTTGCCATGTAGTGTACTCTCCTCGACCAGCTCAACCCCGCCGTGGACATGCCCGGATTCTTTCGGTCGCCTGGCACGGCCGAGCCCCACCGCGCTTTAGGGCACTGAGTGGCTGCCTGGTCGCCTACTGGCGTGACGCCTGCCATTTGTCTAGCGGGTGCCATCTGGTTTTCAAAACCTTGTCTCAGGAGAGTCATGGTTTGGGGCCAGGGGTAAAAGGGTGGGACATAAGGATGATATTTTTGCGTTTCTTTTCCTGATTTGTTAAATGAAAAATGCTGGAAAATAATATGTCTTTCTTTTGTTTTTGGTTCAAATGATGGCATGAAATGTGAATCACAGCTAAGGGTCGTGGAGAGGAGAAAGGCAAGGAGTCGGTTACCCTTTATCTGCTCTGGTTCTTAGGGCCCCACTATACTGTCTGTTAATAAGCCAAAAGGAAGGGTGCACCGTTTCTCTAACATGACATGAAAAAACAGTTTCCTTAAACAGATTCATTTTAAAATAGAAAGGTCAGAGGTCCATAATCCAGGGTAAATACATGCGTTCACCTATTTATATGCATATACTTGTCCAAATGTTTTAGCTAAGTGATAACAATGGTGGAGAGGAGAGAACAGGGCTCCCTAAGGGTTTGGGGGCTGGTGGTGTTGCCTTAAGCAGGTACCAGAGCAAGTCCATTTTTCATTTGAAGCTTTGGGCTTTAGCTTAGAAATTCACTTTATATTCTGTTCCATTGTGTATCATGATGGTTTTATTATGAAAAATGCTTTAACTTCCTTACCTTCGAGTAAATCTGATGTTTGAGACGAGTGTGCCATGTTTGCCCTTTAATGACTTATTCAGGAAACATTTATTGAGCTTCTACTATGTGCCAGGCCCTATTTTACGTTTCTCCCCCAACGCTCTATCATCTCCCAGACACTTCTGTTTAAGTCTGAAAACCCACAAAACAGACATATACGAGGTTGTGAGACTGATGAATTGACAGTAGATAGGTGAATCGTAAATTACCATAATAACTTGATACTGTGCACATTTTTCTGCCCAGGGATTTTATATGATCACTGTCAGAATTTAGCAGAAAGCCTCATCAAAGTTGTAAATTTTTGGTGAACTTAAAGCAATTCCTTCAAGCTTTAGAAGGTTACATTTTCATTGTTTTTTAGGGATGCAGAAAGGTCTCATTTTCCATTTCTACTTTTGACAAGTGCTCCATACTTAATGTTTAGGTCCTTCTGTTTTCACTTTTTCTCTCCTTGTTTCCCGTCTTTACTGATAATGAAATGCTGCATTCTTTTCCTTCTTACTCCAATTTCATGTACTTGGTATGTGTTAAACCAGGGGTTAAAAACTCCGCGGATAGGGGGCTCTGGCTTCTTTGCTACAGGGTCTAAAATATTGATGTATGTGTGTGTCTGTGTTGTGTGTGTGTTATGATAGAAACATTGCAGCTTTAGTTCAGTACACAAATGTAGTGGTTAAAGTGGGATTGGATTGACTGGTTTGAGTTTTTACTCTACCACGTCCTAGCTGTATAAAAATCAGTTTCTATACCTGCTTCTTCAATTATTAAATGAGGAAAGTAACATACCTACCCCAGTTGGAGCCATGTAACAATTAAATGCAATAATGAATGCAAAGCACAGTGCTTGGCATATGGTAAGGATAAAAAAACGTTAGCAATGATCTTTAGTGTTACTATTATTTATTGCATGTCTGTGCAGATACACACCTACCCCATAGACACAACTTTTCTGTACGATCTGTTATGCAAAGAATGATGGCTACTGTTAGGCACAATTGTGAAGGGCTAGACCTTCAGCCTTCAGCATTGCCAGCTTCCACTGAGAAGGCGCATTCTCGCCCGGCCGGGCATGGCTGTGTGGTTGAGCGTCGACCTAGGATCCAGGAGGTTCGATTCCCGGTCAGGGCACATGCCTGGGTTGCGGGCTTAATCCCCAGTTGGGGGCGTGCAGGGGGCAGCCGATCAATGACTCTCATCATTTATGTTTCTCTCTCTCCCTCTCCCTTCCTCTCTCTGAAATCAACAAAGATATATTTTTAAAAAGAGAGAGAAGGTGCATTCTCTCCTTACTCCCACCAGAACCCAGTGCCCAGCCTCTCACCTTCTCTTTCCTACTAAAAACCTCATTTCAAGTAAGGACCTAAATTGATCCACACAGAGGCCTAGCTGACTGAGGACGCTGGAGGTGCAGCCCTCGTAAAGGTCATGACCTCTTATCAAAGATCGCACGCGGTGCTGATGAGATGGCAGGCAGGCCTCCGCAGCAGCTGGAGACGTTTGTTTGCAGCGTGAACCCCCTCGCCTTCTGGAGAAGTCCCCGAGTGGGAATGGTTAACTAGGCCAAGGGTGCCTGCTGGGGCTCTCCCGGGGGCTGTCTGACATCCTCAAAGGCTGCCTCTCTCTCCAAGCCTGGGGCCATTTAGGAATGACTGTCAGCTGTTCCTTTTCTTTTTTTTCCATTTGTGTCTGTGGGT